AAGCAGTATAATCATATTAAGATTACTGACAAAAGAGGGGTGCCTGGGTGGCTCAGTCAGTTAAGCGACTGCCTTCGGCTCAAGTCATGATCCCAGGGTCCTGGGGTCGAGCCCTGCATCGGGCTCTCTGCTCAATGGCGAGTCGGCTTCTACCTCTCCCTCTATGATCTCTTTCGCTTTCACTCTCTCTCAAATAAATAAATAAAATCTTAAAAAAAAAAAGATTACTGACAGATGAACTAATGGGCAATGGTTACAGGCAATGGTTACAGTAAAGAAAGTAGTAAAAACAGGGGCGCCTGGGTGGCTCAGTCGGTTTAGCTGGTTTCTGCTCAGGTCATGACCTCAGGGTTGTCAGATAGAGCCCCATGTCAGGCTCCGTGCTCAGTGGGGAATCTGCTTGAGAGTCTCTCCCTCTGCACACCCCACTTGTGCACATGCTCTTCCCTCCCCCCGCCATGAATAAACCTTTTTAAAAAGAGAAAGTAGTAAAAACAAGCTGGGAAAGAGTTAAGGAAATAGAGGAAAATGAAGAGTTCAAAGAACAGAAGTCTTGATGAAGCCAAAGAACAGTTACAGTGGGAGTAAGAAACTTGTGTTTAAGATTTCAAAAGCAGGGTAACTTGAATAGACTTCTGATTATGTCCAATATGAAGTAACAAGGACGACCTTCCCACTCAATACAACCAAAAGCAAATAAATGAATGAAATAATGGTTTGCAAGACGCTAGACAATAGACAATGATGATGAGAGATGCAAAACAAATAAGGTAAACCCTATGACTGCTCCAACTTAATGACTTGAGAGTCTTTCTAGTCCATGGCGCAAAGAGGGAAAATGCAGGCCTCAGAGATAGGCCGATTCTCTGAGCTAAGGAAGTGGAGACAAAGTGAACTAGAATTGGCAAGGTAAAGTATGAGAGAGAGCTACACAGAGAGAGAACTCTGGATATATGAAATCTGTGGAGGGTCTCTGTATACAACAGTATGCAACAACAACAACAAAACCCCAAACAAAAACAAAACAACAGTACACAACAGACTACTGAGTACCTCTTCATCTATTAAAGAAATTAAATTTATAGTTTAAAATCTTTCCACAAAGAAAACTCTAGATCCAGTTGACTTTACTGGTAAGTTCTACCAAACATTTAAGGAAGAAATAATGTTAATCCTACCTAAACTTTTCCAGAAAATTGAAGAAAACAAAATATTTCCCAACAAATTCTATGAGGCAAGCATTGCCTCATACCAAAATCAGGCAAAGAAATTAGAAGGGGGGAAAAAAGGCTTTATGAACATAGAAAATTAAAATTTAAAATAAACTTAAAAAAAAATTAAATCTATAATATATAAAAAGGATAATACATGTGTAAGAGTATTTTTTCCCAAAAAGAGAGGTAAGGCAGGCTTAAAATATGAAAATTAATCAATGTAAGTCACCCTATTAACAAACTAAAAATGAAAACAAATCTGATCCTCTCAATAAATGCAGAAAAAGCATTTGAAAAAAAAAATTCAACATCCATTCTGATAAACTCTCAGAAAACTAGGAATAGAAAGGCATATTTTCAACCTTTTAAAAACATCTACAAAAAATCTATAGTATCATACTTAATTTTGAAAGACAGATGTTTGTACCCTAAGATCAGGAAAAGGACAAGGATGCCCACTCCAACCGCTTGTGTTCAACACTGTACTGGAAGTTCTAGCCAGTAAAATAAGGCAAGAAAATGAAATGAAAGGCATCCAAATTGGAAAGGAGGAAGTAAAACTGTATTAACAGATGAAAAGATTGTCTATGCAGAAAATTTGATGAACTCTAAAAAAAAACCTATTAGAATAAATGAGTTTAAAAAGGTTTCAGGGTACAATATTCCAAAAAAAGGATGTATTTCTATATATTAGCAATGATAAATTAGAAATCAAAAGTAAAAGAATAATACCATTTACAATAGTATCAAAAACAGAATACATAGGGATCAATCTGATAAAAGATGTGCAAAACCTATATATTAAAAACTACAAAATACTGCCAAGAGAAATAAAATAATAGATACATCAATGGAGAGAATATATCTTTTCATTCATAAGAGGACTCAATATCATTAGATGTGAATCCTACACATATTGATCAACAGATTCAATGCAATGCCTCTCAAAATCTCAGCATCTTTTTGAAGAAATTGACAAGCTGATCCTAAAATTCATATGGAATTGCAAAGCACCCAGGATAGCCAAAATAACTGAAAAAGAACAAATTTGAAAGGCTAACATCATCTGATTCTATGACTTACTATAAAGCTGCAATAATCAAAACACTGGAATACTGGTGCTCAAAGAGATAAACAAATCAATGGAACAGAATAGAGTCCAGAAATGGATGGACACAAATAAGAACAAATGATTTTTTTTTTGAAGATTTTATTTATTTATTTGACAGAGAGAGAGCAAGCGTGAAAGCACAAGAGGGGGAGTGGCAGAGGGAGAAGAATCAGGTTCCCCACTGAGCAGGGAGCCTGATGCAGGGCATGATCCCAGGACCCTGGGATCATGACCTGAACTGAAGGCAGACGCTTAACCGACTGAGCCACCCAGGCTTCCCAAGGCCAAATGATTTTTAGCAAAGGTGCAATGGTAATCCAATGGAGAAAGGATAGTCTTTTCAATTGCATTCATATGAAAAAAGGGAACTTTGACCCTTATCTTGTACCTTATACAAAATGGATCATAAATCTAAATGTAAAATGGATCAAATATGGATCATAATGGACCACAAATCTAATGGATCATAAATCTAAATGTAAAACCCAAAATTACAAAATTTCTAGAATAAAACAGAAGAAAATCTTTGCAGCCTTTGATTAAGCAAAGATTTCTTAGATATGACATCCATGAAAGAACAAATGAGAACTTCATCAAAATTAAAAACTTTTGCTCTGTGAAGAACACTTCACAGAGAATGAAAAGAAAAAATAAGTTCATCTCCACTTCCTAAATCCCTACTACAAGAATGATTTTTCATTCTTTAGCTTGATAAACAAGTATCTCTTTGAACAGGTCCCTAAGGACTATCAGATTTCCCTTCTCAGATGGAGGTGGGAAATATGCTAGGAGTTTACTAGAAGCATGGTTGGTTTGGAATTGCCTGTAGTCATTTGTAAAGCTAATGCTTTATCACAGGGGTTGCCAAGTTGAGAAACACCAAATCCAAATGGAACAAATAAAAAGAGGCAATCAAGATCAAGAAGTCAGTGTAGACAAGGTTAGAATAGGTGGGAGAAGGTCAAGCCATCTATATTTACCTCAGCTGGTGTCTAGGTGTTTTGCCTATGCGGGTAACCCACTCAGCTGTAACTGGCACACTAGGTCCAGTTAAAAGGAAAAAATGGCTGGCTCATTCCTCTAAAACTCATAGTTTTTGAGTGACTCGGGTATCCTCCCCACCTCAACCAAACTCATCACCCAACTATTGTCTCCCACCACCCAAGATGGTGGCCAGCCAGTCTTCCTTATGGGGTGGCAGATATTCCCACTTCAAACCTGAGAAATAATGCTAATGCTATAGTATCATTATAGTGCATCAATAATTTTAGATAATATATATATAGTGCACTTAATATGTACTAGAAACCATGCTTTATTTACATCATCTCGTTTAATCCTTACAACCCCATGAGGGTTATTGTGCTAATCTTCCCATTTTACAAATGAGAAAACTAAGGCACAGAGGAGCTAAGTAACTTGCCAAAGGTCAAAGACCTGAAAAGAGATAAAGCCAGGATATGAACCTAGACAGACTGAATCGAGAGGTTGAGTTCTTAACCACTGATTTATAAAGCTTCCAAAATGGAACTTAGCACTTTTTTCCTACCTTCCCTGTTGCTTAATGCAAAAAACCTCAGTTGCCCTCTACCTCATTCTCTCTGATTCCCTAATCTCCAATCTAACTGTACTACCTTAGTTCACCTCCTGTGTAATAGTCACCTAACTGCACTCTGCTATAATGCATATTCCTCATAACAGCCATACCAGGCTTTCCAAATCACAATTTGATCATGCTACTCTCAAGTGAATTCCTTTCAGTGGTTCCTATAACCTGTGCAATGGTCCAAACTCAACACACAGCAGACAAGGCCCTTCACTATCCAGCCCCATTCTTCCCTTTCAGCTCCACTTGCTATTTGCCTATATAAACCACATTCCATACAAGCCAACCTTCTTGCAAATCTTTAACAAAACATATTCCTAATCCCCGCAGCGCTGCATATACTGTTCTATTTGGGATACCCACACAGTTCTTTATCTAGTAAATTCATATTAGTACTTCAAATTTCAGCCCAAATGGCACCTCCTTTGACCACAGTTAATAATAATCCTGTAACAGTTAATATTTGTTTAGCACATTTGTTTAGTGTCAGATACTATTATAAATCCTTTACATATTTTAATACTCATTTAATCATTCCAACAACCCTATGAGGAAACTGAGGCAAAAGAGTTAGCACTTGCTGCCACTTCAGTGTATGGAATTTATGTATTTCCTCACTCAAATTAAATTCTTGGAAGGTAGAACTGTCCTCCTCATCTTTGCAGCAGCTCTGCCTGTATAGAGCCTGGTACATAACTGAAACAGGAGTTCAATAAACATCTCTTTACAAATGGCCAGAACTGTGCCTCCAGGTTCTAATGGCAGACTTGGAAACTCTTCCTGGCCATGAGCCCTCTAATTTCTCCAGAGCTTGCAAGGAGCATAACAACCATGTTTAGTGTCTAGTAGAGTCCCACGTAAGCTAAAGGAACCTTACAAGGATTTACCAAACAGTTCTGCTTAAGTATATACACATCCTCATACATACTACCAAGCTTTTTGCAAAGCTAACTTAAGTTTTTACAAATTTCCATGCACAAAACAGGCATTAGAAAAACATTAGTTGGTCAGCAATGACGACATTAAACCTTACATGTAAGAATTCTCAATAAAGGAATATGGAGCTTACTTTGATCTCTCAGAAAGTCGATTTCTGTGGCCATTCCGACAGAATTTTAGTTTGGAGCTTTCACCACCTTCGCTTTCTTCAAAAACAACAAAAACAAAACAAAACCCCACCACCACCACCACCGAAGAAGAAAAAACCCAGAGCTCGCTGTGCGGGAAAACAAAACTAAAGCAACGCTCCGGAGGTTGTCAAGCACTCGAGCGGTATTATCAGCATCCTACTCACGCGGCGTCAACAGCCCCGCCGCGCCTTCTTCTCCCGAGTCCCAGCGTAGCCCCTCGCTCAGGCAGCAGACTTCAGATTTCAGGTCTGCTGGGGACCCACCAAGTGAATTTTGTTCCACGTTCACCCGAATCCCGGCCGGGTAAAACGGGGACGCAGGTGGCTATAGGCGTCCCGCAGGTCACTCGGGGTCGTATCGGGCCACTTAGGAGACAGCCGAAGGAGCCGGCAAGAAGCCGGGTGACGGCGTCCTTGGAGGAGCGTTTGGGGTGGAAGCGTTGACTCCAGGACGGCGGGGAAACCCGGGGCCAGCAGCGGAAGTCCAGTCGGCCCGCCCTGCGACTTTGAAACCGGTGCCCCGGACCGCTCCTTGGAGACGGTAACGCCGTCTGCGTCATCACGTGGCCGTCAACGCTTACGTCATCGCGCTTCCTAGAGTCCTTACACGCCATTGGCTATCTATCAAGCTATGGGCGGAGCTGTGAGAACCTGGATAACAGCGGGTTGAGCCACTAGCGAGGCAGTGGTCAAGCTCGCTGGCCTGAGTCTTCCTGTGGTGGAGCCTGGTGTTTGTGTGTGTTTTTAAAGAAAACCCCCAAAATGTAAACGTAGGTAGGGCATCAAGTACATATGTTAAATGCCCCCGGGATCTTTGATACTTAACACTTCTGGACTGGGAGAACCTGCTGGCCAAAAAGAGTGGGTGGAAAATAAGTGGATTTCTGTGGCTGGAGGCGGAACCCAGACTGGCGGCTTCAGAGCCCACCACCAAGGCTGACCCTCTGGGGGATTGTTGAGTATGGACTTCATCTCCAGAAGCTAAGTACGATCCTGCCTCTTTGGGTCTTTAGAGGAAAGAAACATCTGTTTAAATATTTAACTGTGTGTCAATAAGGCTTATAGTTAGAGGTACTCCAAAGATCCTGCAAATTCAGCAGTTATTTCTTTAGAGATAACTTTACTTCCTCAAAAAGAAGAAAAAAGTTACATTTTTTTTTTTGTCACAAAAAATTAGGCAAAACTTTATATTTGGGGGTAAATGACAATTTCCAGCATTAAAAATTGATTTTATCTGGGTTTAAGCCTTATCTTAATATTGCAGGAAATTTCAACACTTAGCAATAAAAATGTTAACTTGAAGCTAGCCACTAGTTTTAGTGCTTTTTAATAGATTGTGTGTTTTTATTGAAGTAATTTCACTAAACAGGCATGTCAAGAGGTAGCTCCATTTGGCTTTCTCTTTAACAATTTAAGTTTTATTTTCCTGTACTCTTAATGTTATATAAACGAAGTAATGTTAGCAGAATGTATTAAGAAATTTTTAAAATGTGTCCAACTATGTCCAGCTAGGTATTTGAAATCCTGAAGCTTTCTCCATACTCACTACTAAGAGAAAGCGGTGGTCCCTTCCTCTAAAGACTGGCTGTTAAATATGAAGGTATATCTAATAACCATTTAAAAAGTTTAGCTTTGTATCAGTGAAGATTGAACTTGATCTGGTTTTTGGTAGCCATGAAGTTAATACAAATAACTTATTGGAAGGAGAAACTGAGTGGGCAAACTTCCAACTTTTTTGAAGGTCAGTGTATGACTTTCTTCATGAACTCCTCACTGACTCCCCAAGGGCTTGTGTTTAAGTTCTCCTACCTTTGAGTCTGTATGTTGTCATATTGTAGTTTAATTTGGCACCAAACAGTTATAAACTTAATTCTACATTTACACTAGAAGTTGATAAGATACATTAGTGTTTGTGAAAGCAAAGAGTACCTTCTTGATATAAATGATGAGTGGTCTTTGTGTAAAATAAATATCTGAAGTTGGAATTTTTATCTCTGTACTTGAACTATTTGGCTTATATGGTCAAGTTCAATACAAACCACATTTTTGGGATTTGGGGTTTATTTGGGGAGCTGGTTTGCAAGATTCTGCTGAATTTCAATGGAGTTTTTTCAAAATATTTTTCATCCTTATGAAACATAATTGTTATGCTTCCACTTATCCTTAAAGTATTCCCTCTAGTGTTGCTTGCTTTTAAAAGTTCCTTTGTGTCCTCTACCCACTTTCTCCAAGGAAGGTGCTTTCTTAATACTTCATGCTTCTTCCTCCAGTCTCTATCATATTGTTTTGCAGTTTGTCTCCAGGCTCCATCAGAGTGCCTGGAACTCAATAATTGTTCAGTAAATATCTGATGAAGGAATTAATTTAAAGAATTCAGTGGATGTACTTGGAAAGTATCTATTAGTGTAATTGAGTACAAGGAATAAGAAGTGGGAGAAAAATTAGTATGTTTTTAACCATTCTCTAGCAACAATTTCATGTTTTTATGTTAGATATATTTCTTCAATAAAGAAAACCCTTGAAAATTGATAGCTTTTACTAATATTAATTTGTATAATAAATTGACGTTGAGCACCCAGTACTATGTGGAAAGCATCATGAAGTATTTAAAGTTGGAAATTTAAGCTAGGGTCAAAACCATATGAAACATTCTCTGATACAATTAAATGCCATAAAAAAAGATATTTTAAAAATTTTCTTAATAATTATGTTTATTTTAGGGGTGCCTGGGTGGCTCAGTCAGTTGTGTCCAACTCCTGATTTCAGCTCAGGTCATGATCTCAGCTCAGGGTCCTGGGATTGAGCCCCACAAGGGGCTCTGCTCTCAGCGTGGTCTGCTTGTCCCTCCCCCTCTGCTTTTCCCCGTTTGTGCTCTCTCTCTCTCTCTCAAATAAATTAATTAATTAAACAAATAAGTAAAATCTTTAAACAAATTATGTTTATTTTAACCAGCCAAGAGAAGCATGGCCTAGAAATTGGGAGCTCTCTTTTTAAGCTTGTCTTTTTTATTATTATAATTTTTGTAACAAAAAAATGATATGAAATCTACTCTCAGATTTTTTTTTTAAAGATTTTATTTATTTATTTATTTATTTGAGAGAGAGAATGAGATAGAGAGCATGAGAGGAGGGAGGTTCAGAGAGAGAAGCAGACTCCCTGCCGAGCAGGGAGCCCGACGCAGGACTCGATCCCGGGACCCCAGGATCATGACCTGAGCCGAAGGCAGTCGCTCAACCAATTGAGCCACCCAGGCACCCTACTCTCAGATTTTTAAGTGTAGTGTAGTAGTCTTAACCATATGCACATTGCTGTACAGAAGATCTCTAGAACTCTTCCATCTTGCCTGACTGAAACTCTATATCTACTGAACAATAACTCCTTTATTTCCCTCTCCCACCAAAAGTGATTTTTAGAAAACAAAAATAATAGTTTCGGTAAAACAAATACAAAAGCTATTTTCCCCCAAAGAGGTTTTAAAAAGTATGTTATAAGCAAAATATATTTAGGCTGAACCATGTGAAATTGTGATTTTCTGCAGTTTCATATGGTATAGTTTAATACTTTACCTGAAAATATTTGAATAATGGCTACCCACTAATGTAATCTCTGCTCTTGCTGATCAGGAGGAAATGGTGGTGTCTTTACTTTAAAATGTAGAATATGAGGGCGCCTGGGTGGCTCAGTTGGTTAAGCGACTGCCTTCGGCTCAGGTCATGATCCTGGAGTCCCTGGATCGAGTCCCGCATCGGGCTCCCTGCTCGGCAGGGAGCCTGCTTCTGCCTCTGACCCTCCCCCCTCTCATGTGCTCTCTCTCTCTCATTCTCTCTGTCTCAAATAAATAAATAAAATCTTAAAATGTAGAATATGCACAGTATTCCCAGAGTAGCTGTGAAGTTCAGGTGCAGTGACTCCTTCTGAATTAAACCCACGGATGCTATAGGCATTTTGGTAACTCGCAGCAACCAAAATACAGAGTGATTCTATTATTTGGAAATATTGTAGTTCTGTAAATTATTACCTTTTCTTGAGAAGTTTAGAAGTTTATGTATGATTATGTTATGAATTTACATTTAATCCTGTGTAGAAACAGTAAGTTCACACTGTCTTGGGTGAAAGAGACACTAAATGAAGGAAAATAGGTTGATAACTGCTGAAGCTGCTAGGATAAGTAAAACTGAACCAACCAGAACCATGTTGTACATCTCTAGGGCACTTAACCATATTTTATTATCTCAAGGGTCAGTTAGACCATCCTGCCTGGCAATCTAGTTTTTTTAGGAAAAACACTTAAGAAACATGTAATTTTAATGATTTGAAACAGAGGTATTTCCTTTTTTTTAATTTATTTTTTTAAGATTTTATTTATTTGAGAGAGAGAGAGCATGAGCCTGGTGAGGGGCCGAGGGAGAAGCAGACTCCGCAGAGCAGGGAGCCCCATGTGGGACTCGATCCCAGGACCCTGAGATTATGACCTGGGCCGAAAGACAGACGCTTAACTGACTGAGCCACCCAGGCACCCAAGAAGTATTTTCTTTAAGCAAACCTGTATATACTTTAATAATAACAGCTAATCTTTTCTGAGTATTTGCTACATGCATTCTAGGTGCTAAATACATATATATATATAGTGTATATAATGTATATATTATGTATCTCCACTTAGAAAATCCTTTTTACAGTAACTTGCTGATGATCATAGTTGGAAAGTGTCTGAATTGGAATTTGAATCTAGGCATTCCAACGTCACAATCTTTGACCACTATGTATATGCCTCCCAGTAGTGTAATATCATTTACATTTAGAGTAATATTATTTACAGCCAGTGTAATATAATTAATGTACAGTTTCTGCTTATATCGCCAGTTAACCTTTAGTTACATTAAGTGAATTACTGCTGTATGTGTTCTATTGTAATCTTAATGATTCACAGTTCATTTTCAGATTGTTACACGGTATTTATATTACTAAATTACCCTTCCTTCTCCTTCTAGAAAACCACTCAAACTTGAGTGGAATAATTAAAAGTTCAGATGTTCTCTGGTGGTCCTTCCCACTGGCTCTTCTCCCCTGCAAAAACCCGGAGAGTGGGCTTCAGCCCTCCAAGCCCGCCCCGGGCTGTGTAGGCAGCTGGGTGGAGCCGAAGGCGGAGCGCTGTCCGGTCACCTCCCCAGAAAGCTGCGAGCTGAGTGTGGCACGGAGAAGAGCTTCCTGGTCTGTGTTTTCTTCTTGGGTTCTCCTGTTATGCGTTGTTTCCTCGGTCGTTACTTGCAGCTTCGCCCAGGCTTGTTAGCTTTTTCTCTGGTAACTTATTTTTCAGCTGCTGCTTCTGCTGGCGCAGTTTACTCCCGCTTCCCGGCTGACTTCCTCATTTCTTCGTTTTTCTTATAAATGGGCGGGGGGCCGGTGGAAGCAGAATGCAAACTGAAAAATAATTATTGTAGGAAACTAAAGAACATCTCGTAAATAGAGGAATTTGGGAATTTCCCTTGTAAAACGTTATGTTGAGAAAACATCTTTTTCCATAACTTCCTTCTTTTAACCTTTGTGGAACATTTTTCGTCTTCTAGGCACTTAGCGCGCTGCGGTTCTGTCTCCTTTCTCTTCCTTCATTTCCATAGTACAGACAAGCAAGAAAATAATTTAAAAATTGTGTGACTTTTTTGATGAAAGAGTAATTTGAAGAATAGAGGTTAAAATGTGGAAAAACACAAATTAACAATAAACATTCTTTTAAGAAAGTCTAAATAGCCAAAATCAAAATTGCATATTAGGCTGGTGATCATTTTGAATGAATATATTCTAATATTCCCAGTATTCATTCTGACATTTAAGAAATGTTCAGCATATATAATATAGAGAAGAGGTATATCACGTGCTCTGAGAGATCCAGCCATAAAATGGACTTTAAAAAATATTTTTAAATTATTCATTTAATTTTTTTTTTAAAGATTTTATTTATTTATTTGACAGAGAGACACAGCGAGAGAGGGAACACAAGAAGGGGGAATGGGAGAGGGAGAAGCAGGCTTCTCCTCGAGCAGGGAGCCAGACGTGGGGCTTGATCCAGGACCCTGGGATCCCCACCTGAGCCGAAGGCAGACGCTTAACGGCTGAGCCACCCAGGTGCCCCTCATTTTTTTTTTAATAGTAATGTATATCTATCATAGTATAAAATTCAGGTAGTTTTTGTTTTTTTTTTTTAAGTAATAACAGTTGAAAGTAAGCCTCCCTTGCTCTCTTGTCACAAGCAGATAATTCCCTCAAAAGAGGTAACCACTGCCACCACTGGTTTCTTGATATGCTTCCTGAGATAGTGTATGCATTCACAACAATAGATGCAAATAGTCTTCTTTTTTAATAAAATAAATTCATACTTTTTGCACCTGGCATTTTTTCACTTAATATATTTTAGATATATAGAGAGAGCTGCTTCACTCTTTTTTAGCAGCAACGTAGTATTTCATTGCATGATACAGCGTAAATTCCTTACTGGTCCTCTACTGATGGGTATTTAAATTGCTTATGGTATTTTGTTATTGTAGACAGTGTTGCAGTGAATATCTTTATACTTAATGTCATTTTGAATATGTGCAGGTGTGATAACTCCTAGAACTAGAATTATTGAGTCAAAGGATATTTGCTTTTTTTGTTTGTTTGTTTGTTTTGATAGATTTTGAGGGATTGCTATTCACAGAGGCTGTACCAGTTATGTCCCAACAATAATGTGATTATTTCTCAGTGTCCTCATTATCACAGCATGTTACCAAACTTTCCAATTGGTGAAAATAGTAATTTATTGTTGTTTTAATTTGCATTTCTATCATAAGTGAGATTGAACATTTTGTATTTACTTTCTGTCAACTGTTTTTCCCATTTTTCCATTGGGGTATTGAATCTTTTTCCTTATTGATTTTTAGGAGCCCTTTAAACATTAAAGAAGTTAGTTATTTGTTTGAAATACAAGTTGCAGATATTTTTTTCCCCAAACTATCTTTTGATTTTGTAATGGTGGGCTTTTTTTGATGGGTGTAGGCAGAATTCTGCTTTCAGTTTTTTTTTTGTTTTTTTTTTAAGATTTTATTTATTTGATAGAGAGAGACAAAGCCAGAAAAGGAACACAAGCAGGGGGAGTGGGAGAGGGAGAAGCAGGCTTCCCGCTGAGCAGGGAGCCCGATGAGGGTCTCAATGCAGGGCTCGATCCCAGGACCCTGGGATCATGACCTGAGCTGAAGGCAGATGCTTAATGACTGAGCCACCCAGGCACACCCTGCTTTCAGTTTTGTTATTTTTATGCAGCCAAATATATCACTTTTTTCTTTGATGTCTTTTGGGTTTGGGGTTATATTTTAAAAGGCTTTTTCTACTATAAGATCATCTTCAAAAATTCATTTTTTTCTTTTTTAATATGGCTTTTATTTGTAAATCTTTGATTCATTTAAAACTTAGTTTGGTGTAGGGATTCGACCTTATTAAATTGGACTACAAAATGAACCGATTGATAATAGACCTAGTTGGTTTAGCTACATGAGACCTGGTTGGTTAGCTACATGAGAATCATCTCTAACTCCCCATAGGCTTATGCTTAATTCCCCTAGCACCTGGTATGGTACTCGAAACAAGTGAGTAGTTAATAAACCTTTGATAAACTAAACTGAAAGGAAGTTTCTAGATATATTACTTTAGTTACTTACCTTTGTTTTGGTTGAAAGAGAATGATAGCACAAACACAGCTGATTTCTTTTGCACAAAACCTTAGAATCATGAAATTTTGGATCCAGAGACTAGGATGATTATTCACCTGACAAATAAATAATGAGTTCCTATTACTTACAGGCATTCTAGCTGGGAATGGGGAGAGGGCAATGTACAGGCAGTAGAGAATGACAGGAGGTAGAGCAGGGGATGCACACTAGCACAGGTCACGAAGGACATTGATAGTTGAAGTGTCTTTACTTCATACGAGCACATGCGCAAACAAACAAAAAAAAAATTGAGAGGTAGTGAGAATTACGCTTCAGGAGACAGTTCTAAGTATCCCCAGGAAGTTGGAAGGAGAATCCGTTGTCTCTGTCTTGGTCCATGTCATCTTTAGATTACATTGTAAACTAGTGGGCAGGACTATGCTTTTTAGGTTACTTTTGTTACAAATATTATGCACACTTGGATTAACTTGGATTAACATGAGTGTTCTTTAAACAAATTAACAAATTGTCATTCTAATAGGAACCTGTGCCACTTTATGCAATTAAAGCCAAAATTACATTCTACCCTTGGGCATGTCAGCCATGGCACTCCTCCCTGCTGATGGAAGTCTAGTCAATATTTCTTGCAGTAATTTCAAACACTGCTCAAAAACATCAGGGAAAAGGGCCAGTAGAAAGTCTTGAGGCACCACTACTTTATACTCTCAACAAGAGTAGCTCTGCTTTTATATTTAATTTCTTCTTAACTTTCAGGTAAGATTACATTTTGAATTAATTTGAAACTATAAAGTACACCTCGCTCTGACCACAAGACCCGCCATGTGTGCATGGAACTGACCGGCCATTTTTAGGATCAAATCCCTGGATATGCTTTAATTCCATTTAGATGTAAAGATGATTGCCTGCAAGAGCTGGGAGCTGGAAATTCCTAGTGGAAACCCTACTGATTAGGATAGGGATCCTTTTAATGTGTGTGGTGTTTTTGTAGATACGGTGGTTCTGTGGAGAATGAGTGAATCTGCCAAAACTTCTTAGTCGCTAAGTTATATTTTGCCAGAATTGTCAAGCTCCAAGTTAGGAGAATAGCATATTCCCTCAGCATATTGGTATAAGAATCAGATTTAATCAGCATTTCTAACATCTTGATTTATTCTTATTTCTTCCTATACGCTTCAAGATGATACTTACTAGTACCAAAATTTGGGATAGAGATTTATCCATTTATATATGAAGAATGTGCCTTGATATTTCAACTAAAGAAAATCAGTATATTATTGAGGTATTTTATTCCATATAAATCAGTACTAAATTCTACAAAAATCAGAATCAGTTTATAGTGTCTTATCACTCACTGAGCTTATTTTAATAATAAAGAATATAAATTATTGAATATATCCTCTTCTCAAATACTGTTAGTTGCAAATGGGTTATATAATACCAGAATTATTTTTTTAAATTTTTGAGGTTATCAATTAAAATTTGGTAGCCTGGAGTGAAAATCAGGAAGAGCTGCATACTTTAGAAAAAGGTTTTCGGAGATCTTGGATTCCTGTGTGCCACAGAGCTTATATATTTGGATCTCCGAATGATTGGTACCTCGTAGGTACTCAGTATGTATTAATTGAAATAAATTTATCCAAAACTTAACTTTATTATTTGCAGTAAAAATAACATATGAAGCAAGGAAATGTATTCAAAGGCTTCAGATAAGGGAAATTGAAGTCTGGAAATAGCATCATTACTAATCAAGAATAAGATATAAGGACCTAGTATGATTTGGGTAATCTACCACTCTTAAAATAAATTTTGCATCTCCTTGCAGATTCCTGAAATATCTTCATCTGGGAAAACATGGCTTACATTGGTTCAGTTTCATGATTTGCCAGCCATATGACCTTGGACAAATCGATTTCTTCATTTGTAATGAGGATAAAAATAGTTCTTTGCAAGTTTGTTGTGAAATTAAATGAGATAATGTTTGTAAAATGCCTGATATGTAGTGTTTAATAAAAAATGTAATTTTATTAATATAATGCTATTTATGTCCATTTAATCCTTAGAGAAAAAATCTAAAATGCAAATACTGCTTGTAGCAAATGTATTTAGTCTATTTCAAAGTTTAAATGATAAATTCTGTTCCCATTTTTCAATTGGAGAGAAGGGATTAACCAAACATGTGGTCATTTAACATGTGAAATTTCAACAATTGAAGCAGCTAAGAAAATCTATACCCTGAGACCAAGGAAGACAATATTAAACTCTATTAACCTTGAAATGGTTGGAGTACTCCCCTCCCTGCAACTCCCACCCTACAAAGAAAGGGTTTTAGCCAAAGAAACAAGTGTTAGCAGCAGTGCTTCTGCTGATTTATAGAGGTATTTTTTTTATCAGATTGAATTTTATTATAAAGATCTTGATTCCCAAGGGATCCAAAAATTCGGACACTTGCACACTTTAGAATAAAAGACAAAGGATGGCATAGGAACTCGTAGTGTTTATAGTCGTTAAGTATATAAGTTCATAAGTATATATGAACAGTTTCTTCTGTGGACTTAATTACAGTTTTTAAAAATGATTTTGATACACTCTTTACAAGGTGACTTGAGCTGGATCTAGACTTAGTTCTTAAACTTTTCTAGTTCTAAAACTTTTAGGATCCAGTTACCTATTTTACAGTAGAACTCCTGTCCATGGTTTGCCATAACACAAATGACCTTTTGACTCTCAGAACTGTGTTCTTGTCACTCTGCTTCCGTCCTGTCTGCTTTTTGACGTTGAAATTTTCATTTCATTTCCAACTAAAGGAAACATTTGTTTATTGTTAAAGAGTTTTTAAAAATTTTTTTTTCCTTTAGAATCTTCAGATGGATTTTAAAATTGAACACACTTGGGATGGTTTCCCAGTGAAGCATGAACCAGTGTTTGTCAGGCTGAATCCAGGTGATGGAGGAGTGATGATGGAAGTTAGTGCTCCATTTTTCAATGATCCTCCAGCTCCACTTGGAGAACCAGGAAAACCTTACAATGAACTGTGGGATTATGAAGGTAAGTGGAAGTACTGTATTTTATTGCAAATATAAATCTCTTTATAATAACCTCTCCTTGAATTATTATTTTATCTTGCTGTAAGGAAGTGAGTGCTCTTCTGAGCAACTGACATGTGCAGTTTCTTCCATTCTCTACCAGTCTCTCATTCTGACTTTTTCACCATCACCTATGTGACTTCAGCTATATAACTAGAACAGTGAAAAATGGCAAGTACAAATCCAGATTTTTAAATTGCTGCCACATTTCTTTCCTTTACTTCTGATACCTATTTTAAAAAGAGTTTACCAATTCTGTTTTGTCTTTAAGTATCTTCAAATTGCTGCTTTAACCTTATAAACCTTCTTTGTGGAAGTTTGGGGATGTTTTACTTATTATAGAAATACTATCAACTTTAATATGAAATGTAGTTTTTATTTTATACTGGCAATTAATCTCACATGTCAAATGAAGGCTAAAGGACATGCCATAAAATGACACTGTGCCAGATTTGCTATATGATCCCCTTCTAATATATTGTAATTAAGCTACCAAACTTATCTTTCTGAAATACTCTTTATGATTCCATTCCTCAGGTCACAAACCATAACTATCCCTGAAATAAAGTTCAAACCCTCATATAAGCTTTCAGAGTACTCATAAATTGGGCTCTTCTATTCAGTCAAAAGCTCTTTTTTAATATAGCAATGTTACATTAGTTTCAGGTTCACAACATAGTGATTTGACAAGTCTGTACATTATGCTATGCTCACTGCAAGTGTAGCTACCATATGTTACCATACAGCACTGTTACAATACCATTGACTATATTCCCTGTGCTGTGACTTTTATCCCTGTGACTTATTCATTCCATGACTGGAAGTCTGTATCTCCCACTCTCCTTCATCCATGTTGCCCATCCCCCTACCCTCTGCACCACACCTTCCCCAGCCCCTGGCAACCATCAGTTCTCTGTATTTATGGGTCTGTTTCCACCTTTTGTTTACTCATTTGTTTTGTCTTCTAGATTCAATATGTAAGTGGAATCATATGTCAGCCAAAAACTCTTGACTTCTGAAAGGCTAGTGGTCTTACTATCCATGCATATTCTCACCCATGTACCTTTTCTCATTCTATTCCCGCCCCCCACCTCTAATGCACTTAGTTCAAGGTCTAATATAGGTTTCATTTCTTTAAAGAAATCTTTGATGATTCCTGTAGTCCATACTAACATCTGTATAGCATGCATTTTTCAGTGTTAATTTATCATATGTAAAACATATGTTATCTTTTACTGATACAGAACTTTTACATACCAGCTACCTACTGGTGTAGACACTAATGTGACTTATCTACTAGAGGTACTATACACACCAAACTGAAGAAGCCCTAAACTCAACTCATCCACTTCTCTCATAAATCTGCTTCTTTCCCCAGTTGCCCAATCACTATAATACATCGATTCACTAAATATAAAAATATGAGATCTTTCCAAGATGTCCTTTTCCGTCATTCTCCATATTTGGATTTATTTATGAGTCCTATCAGCTTCACCTCTAAATGTTTCTCTAATTTAGTACCTCTTCTTCATTCACACCATCCCTACCATAGGTTAGGCCTTTATGATCTTTTACCTGGGCTAGTCAAAGCATCCTTAATAGTCTTTTTACCCTTCAGTCCATCCTTCACTTAGAAGCCAGAGTGATCTATCGAAAATGAAAATTCAAACTCATAATTCAGGTCCTTACAACCTTCTCAGGCTTCCTGTCCTCTCAGGATAGTTTCACCCTTCTTATTATGATCTCTATATAAGATTTTCCATGACCTAGCCCCTTATTCTCTTTGCAGCATTACTTCTTTGTGCATTGAAATGTTTGCCTAGGAAGACTGAACTGCTTGTAGTTCTTTAAGGGATGATATTTCCTAATCATGTACATTTGATTATACTTCTCTCACACCCTGGAATGCCCTTTCCATCATTCTTCTTCCCCCAATTCCAACTTATCTTTCAAGGTGGAGCTTAGATAATACCGTCTCCAGGAATCCTTCCCTAAACCACTTTTTGGAGCTAAGTGTCTGTTTTCTTTTGTTGTGTGTAGCAGCAACCCATATCTCCTTCCCTTGTGGTATTTTTATTAAGAGTATCAACTTGCAGGGCACCTGGTTAGTAGTAGTAGGAGTAGTAGAGCTGAAAGCAGTAGGTTGAACATCTGCTTTCAGCTCAGGTCATGCTCCCAGGGTCCTGGGATCGAGTCCTGCATCGGGCTCCCTGCTCTGCGGGGAGTCTGCTTCTCCCTCCCCCCACCCCCACCCCCCGCTCCTGCTCTCTCTTCCTATCTCTCTCTCTCTCAAATAAATAAATAAAATCTTAAAAAACAAGAGTATCCACTTTCATGTCTGATTAGATTGTAAGCTAATTAAGGTACTCCCAGAATTTGATACAGTATTTAATACAGAGAAGATGCAAAAATGATTTTAAGATGATATGCAAAATAGTAATTAGAAGATGTATTAGAGTTCTCCAGAGAAACAGGACTGAGAGGGGGAGAGAGAGAGAGGGAAAGACAAAGAGAGAAAGAGAGAGAGAGAGAGAGAGAGAGAGAGAGTGTGTGTGTGTGTGTGTGTGTGTGTGTGTGTGTGTAGCGAAAGCAAAAGATTTATTTTAAGGAATTGGCTTATGCAGTTTTGGAGGCTGACAAGTACAAAATCCGCAGGGTAGAGCAGTAGACTGGAAACCTAAGGAAGAGCTGATACTGCAGTTTGAGTCTGATGGTCTGCTGGCAGAATTCCTCATGGTCAGGGGAGGTCTGCCTTTTTTCTGTTAAGGCTTAGATGATTGATTGGATGAGACTGATTGATTGGGTAAGACTCAGCCACATTATGGAGGGTAGTCTGCTTTACTAAAAGTCTACTGATTTAAATGTTAAATCTCATCCAAAAAAACACCTCCACAGAAACATCTAGAATAATGTTTGACTAGATACCTGGGTACTGTGGTTAAAGTTGACACATAAAATTAAGCATCATGGAAGCATTCTAATTCATTTAGAAAGGGACAAGACTCTGAACTGTTGATGGAACTGTATCTAAATCTTAGATATTTCATTATAAAAATAACACATGGAAAACTGGAAACAACCTAAATGTCTATCATAAAAGGATTATGTGAATAAATTATAACATTCTATAGAAGAATACTATGCAGTAATTTAAAAGCATTAGGTTTCTATATGCTGGAAAGTCTTTTTGTGAAAAAGGATAGTTGTAGGGAAGTATGATTCCATAATTGTTTTTTAAAATCCATGCTGGTAAAATAGGTTGTAGAAGGACAGAAAAAGTCTGACAGGTTTTAGAGCAAAGTGTGAAGAAAAGGACTTTGACTTTTTACTTCATATGTGTTTATATTGTTTTAATCATTTATAAGAAATATATATTACTTTCATAATTAAATAATTTTTAAAGGATGACATGCTCAGAAAACTCCAGGAAGTTGTAAAAAGAAAAATCACCTACCTGTATTCCCTCTATCAGAGATAACCAGTCATTTTTTGTGTGTGTATGCATACTTTGCAGACATCTAGACACACAGGCACACATGCACATTCTTATTCCATGTACATTTGGTTATTTTCTGCAGCCTGCTTATGAAATATCATGGCTATCTTCCCATATCAAAAAATATGTAAATATATAGTTGTTTGTAATGACTGCATTATATTCTATTGCATGGAAAATATAAATTCCATAATTTATTTAACAGCTCTCCTATATAATAGTTGTATTTATATCATAGGAGATAACCATGTAGATCATTCCCTATTTTTGAGCAATACTTTGATGAACAGCATTATACTTACTTTTCCCAGTTGTCTGGTTATTTCCTTAAGATAAATTCCTAGAAGAAGGTAACTGGCTCAGAGTCTGTTGTAATAACATTCATTTTTTTAAGAACCTCACCTAACACTAGGCTTTATTAATATTTTTAACTTAGGACAATCTGATATGGGAAAAAATTGATGATTTATTTTCTATGTATTTCTTCTTCCAGGCAATGTGTATTTATTTGCTTTTCACCTTTTCCTATGGGGATAGAATTATAGTTAAAAATAATGAGTTAATTCATTTTATATTCTAAAAAATAAATTATTTATTACTGAAGTAAAATTAAATTTCTCGGTATGTCTTATCTCTGTTTTCAAAAGTTGTGGAAGCATTTTTCTTGAATGACATAACTGAACAGTATTTAGAAGTTGAACTTTGTCCGTAAGTATAAAATTTTTTCTAATTACTACATAATTTGAATACAGTTAATTTCTAGTTATAAATTATATGGTTCATGGTAAAAGCTCAACCAAAAGGAAGAATGCTAATCTGAATAATATATAATTCTTTATTTTCAAGTAAGCATATAACTTATATTTTATAAATATTTGAAAATATTACATTGATACTATTTTCAATTCACTAATGTGGCTGGTTTTCTAATAAATTGAAAGTTTTTTTGTAAAATGAAAAATCATTATAAATATCAGAAACTCTCACTCTTTATTCTGAAATTTGCATCATTATGTATTAGCTATTCAGAAATAAAGGGAGATATAGATACAATGAATTGAACTAGTTTCTTTTAGAGAACTTTTTAAATAACTAGATTAAACTTGAATTTTATGTATTACGTATTATATATTTATGTATTCTTTCCTTTATTCATCACTCATTTATTGAGTATATACTGTGTCACTTCGTGTTCAGTGCCAGGGATAAAAATTAAATCACACATAGTTTTTTTTAGACTTATTAAAAATATTAACCTTGGACTCTTTTGTTCAAATTTAACCAGTCCTTTGGGAACCCTCTTTACCTTGTTGGCAGTTTTTTCCTATATATGTGAAAAAGTAAATTTATGCCTATCTGTCATCTATATGATAACAAATTTTAAATTAGTAAACTATTTGGTAATGAAATATTTCTTTGTATTGCCATTATTCATTTTAATTGACCTTTAAATACCTCTCAGTATCTAATATCCAGTAGCCTCTGTCCCTTTGTAGGGTGGGCAGCATCCCAAACAGTTGATTTAAGTGAGATTTTAGATATCATTTTCTTTTTCCTTAGTTTGATTTCTTGCTAATTCTAATGTAGAAAACATAGCTGTTCACAGTTATATTTTTTGAGAATAATCATGTATCTTCGTGTGTTACCTTTTAACTAACATGCCAGAATCTTTTATTGAAAAATATGATTTAACTGTCATGTGAGGTAAGAAAACTTCAACTCTTGTGTGATTATTTTCATCATACAGGTGAGAAAGCTAAGGCAAATAGATTTATAACTTGTCTAGAAAGCAGTTAAGAACTTGGATATGCTAGAATTCTAGTTTTATCCTTAGTTTTAATTTTATTAGATGATATCAATTTATTTTCCCAAGGTGATGACTTAGTAATAGATGAATAGGATAATTAGATTCTCTTATTTTAAAATTATATGATAACCATTATGTATAAAATCAATAATTTAAAAATATATTTTCAAGTTAAATTATTAATAAGTTAAAAAAAATCCATAGAGTAGTTTGGTTTCATATATTACGGGACAGTTAATAATCAAGAATCATGGTTTTGCTTCAGGCAATCAACTTCTCTGACAGTTAATTAACCTCTGGGAATATCGTTGTTTTAATTTGCAAGGACTTTTATCCCTCTTAGGATATTCTTAAAGTTGCATAATAATAATAAAAATAAGCAGAGAACTTTTAAATGAAAAATAATACTTGTCTTCTGTTAGAATAGTTTACTGCAGGGAAATCCTCCCTGAAAAGCTCACAACAGACCATCTGAGGAGAAATGTTTAGTCTTTTCCACTGACAGTAAATTTGCTTCATGTAACTACTTGAAATCTTTTGATTCTTACTGATCTGGCTAATCCCAACTATGCTCTCTTAATAGAATTCCATCTGAGGATATATTTTGTTTCTTTGAAAATGTGTCATCAGTGTCTGAAACTAATGGTAGAAAGCAGGAAAACACAAGAGGCAGGCCGGTCGAGGACAGTTGTGGGAGAGAATAGATCCAAATTAAAATCTTCAGCCTGTTGACTTGTATTAGACAATCTATGTTTTTATTTTCTGTCTTCCTAATGAGCTTCAAGATAGTTTTTTTACTGAAATAACCTTTAGTAAAGTTGTTGGATTCAGACTTAGAAGTTGGTACCAGCTTCCCTTAGGGTACTGTAGTTTTTGAAATGGGTTTTATTATGAGCACCAGATACTATGGTATCCCCCACCCCTTTTTCATACTTTGCACCATCTAACCAGTTGAAGTATTTTATATAATTTCTTATTTACAGAATATAAAAAGCAGTCTGGACATGTGTAGCTTTATGCATTTGACTGCAGTTGTCTGAAAAATGATAAACTCAAAGATTGGTATTTGAAGTAACTGAACACACTGGTTCTCCCTATAATTATCCAATATTCATACTGCATCTTTTTTTTAAAGATTTTATTTATTTGTTTGACAGAGAGAGAGACCAGCAAGAGCAGGAACACAAGCAGGGGAGTGGGAGAGGGAGAAGCAGGCTTCCTGCCGAGCAGGGAGCCCGATGTGGGGCTTGATCCCAGGACCCTGGGATCGTGACCTGAGCCGAAGGCAGATGCCCAACAACTGAGCCACCCAGGCGCCCTAATTCATATTGCATCTTTTAATTATTTGGAAATCTAGTTATAAGCACATATTGCAGATATGAAGGAAAGTAAAGAAAATAACATTTGTTTCTTTTAAACACTCATGATGAGTTTTAATTTTGACAGTCATGGACAACATTTGGTGCTCTTACTCTCTGGAAGACGAAATGTGTGGAAAGTAAGTAAATAAAAATAATAGACAAAATCTTTAAATATAATCTTAGAGATATATATGCCATATGTAAAAGATATATATATCTTATATAAAATGTTTAAAGTATAAATCTGAATTTACCTTTTGTGTTTCACATGTTGTTTCTGTAGCAAGAACTTGCTCTGTCATACAAAGTGTCTAGAGGAGAGACAAAATGGGAAGGCAGAGCTTATCTTCCTTGGAGTTATTTTCCACCAAATGTGACAAAATTCAATTCATTTGCAATTCATGGATCAAAAGATAAAAGAAACTACGAAGCTCTTTCCCCCGTACCTCAACATGAACTGCAACAAGGACAAAAACCTGATTTGTAAGTAGAAAATAAATGAAGATAGGTTCCAACTCTGAGTTTTTTGGAAACTAATTTTGGGTAGAACAGTAGTAACATTTTTCACTCCAAGAAGACATATGTGTACAAATGCCTAGCAGAGTTATGTGTTCCCTGATTGTCCTCAGTAAGTACTCGACAGACTGACTTTGGACAGACATAGGCTCTCTTACTGCTCTCAGTAGAGCACTTATATTTCCATAGTGCTATGAGAAAAGTCTTACTTAGTGAGTATTGCCACAGCAAGTATCAAAGTATGGTTGCAAATTCATTTATGATCCCTTTCAGAGCTAAATGACCAGAGACGTCTGTGTTTCCTGGTGTGGGTAAAGGGTTAATAAATCCTTTCTTGTGGCTTGAGAATGTGATCTTCAGTTAACGCTCTAGCTCTCTTCCCTTAGTAACCTCATAAGGATAAAAATGTCAACTATATTTCTAAGCAACTTTGCCTGTCATAATAATGACCCTTAATTGGTAAACTGATTCTGATCTGAGAGGAATTATGAATAAACTCTGAATACCTGATAGGGGCCACATGGCTTTGGGATTTCCCTTTAGCAGTCTTGTTTCCCATGGGGATGCTAGAAACTATAATAATGAAGTTATTATTACAAGAGATATTGGCTCCTGTGGGGCAGCAGGCATGTAAGCTAAGGTATCTCCTACACTTTTTCAGTTTGAGTCTTAGCTCTTTGCACCTAAAGTTGTCACTTAAGGAGAATAGAGCTCCTGGCCAGCCTTATAAGTGCTTCATGGACTGCTATAAACACAGTAAAGGCAGATGCTGTCCTGGGGCAAGCTGAGATTCCTGCTCTGTATCTCTCTGGGTGTACTTGGTGTGGCCCAGTCTGGTGAGATTTCATGTTTAGAAGAGCCTAAAGAGATATCCTGGTGGACTTTGAACCATGGTAGACTTTCCTGCCTTTTTCCCCTTAGAAAGTGCTATACTGTCCTTCTCCCTGTTAGCTTTTTCCTTCCTGTCGTGCTCTTACTTCACTCACTTTGCCTTTATCTTTTCTAGCCTAGCCTTTATTCTGCCTGACACACATTTCCCTTTGCTTTTGTCCCCAGTCCTGACCCTTTTTCTTATCCTTCCCTGTTGCCTTTCTCTTCATGCTACCTCTAATCCATCTCTGTTGTTTCCCTAACCTCTTTTTTTATTTTAATTTTTTAAAAATTGAAGTATAGTTGCTACACAATGTTACATTAGTTTCAGGTATACAACGTAATGATTCAACAAATCTATATATTATGCTATGTACACAAGTATAGCTACCTTCAGTCTCCGTATAATGAACGCTATTACAATACCATTGACTATATTCCCTAGGCTGTACTTTTTATCCCTGTGACTTAGTCATTTCATAACTGGAAGTTTCCTAAACTTCTTAATTCTGGATTGACAGTGTGACTCTAAGCCAGGTTCATCCTGGGTCAGCCTGCTCAGTGGGGGGCAGAATGGGACAGGAATCCAGATGGAACTCACTCAGGGCCCTCATATCAAGATGGCTTTTTTCTCTGGCTCTTCACCACCTAATGCCTTCCTGTATTCAGGCTCCTCATTTACAAGTTATTGGAGACTTACCCTAGATAAAAGTATGAGTATACCATTGGTCAAGGTAGAGTCAGGGCAGAATGATTTCCTGCACAGCTGAGATCCACTGTAACATGTTAGTTAAGCCATTGTCTCCTCATTAAGCCACAATACTTGAACGGTTTTCTTAGAAAGAAAAGAAGTAGGATTAAATCTCTTACATTAACCTCTCTTGCTTTGGCAAAGTAGTGTATCCTCTAAGTTACAGAGCTGAAACTTTAAAACGATTATCTATATGGCATATAAAATATATCAAAATTTGAATGTAAAAACATCTCTAAGAGTATAATATTTGTTTAAGGCTGGATAGAATGAGTCAGATTTTGAGGGTTGATTTTTATTTCTTCCCTCAGCTGTGAGGGAGCTTTTCTAGAATTAAGAGGAGAGTGTTTTGAGATGTCAGTGAATTTCAGAGCTGAATGTTTGATAGCAAGAGTGAGAAAGTTGTACACATAGAATACATCTTACCTTTGGTATTTTTAAAATAGTATGTTGTTCTATCACAAATGTGACAAAATAAATAGCCCTTCAGGATGACTATTTCACAAATGCGTAATTCATTTCAATTCTCACCTTCTTTTTATTTGTGTTTAGTCATCGTCTGGAATACTTCAAGCCTTTCAGTTTTAATACACTGCTTGGAGAAGAATGGAAACAACCAGAATCAGAGCTGTGGTTAATAGAGAAACCTGATGTATAGGAGTATAGTAGATGACCATATCAGTCATTTCTTCTCTGTGTCTTTTAAGGTAAATCAATAATATGTATAATCTCTTTTAATCACGATACCACCAGCACACTTCAAGAACAACTATTTTCATAGAGGTCAGTGAAAATATAGTATCTTTGCAGCAAGTTGTATATGAGTTAACAAGAAAATGGAAAGTTTGTAGATGACTTTAACTAGAAAGTTAAAATGTTTCTCAGAGTCATTCAGTCTAGGAGCCATCACATCAATCAGTTCTATCTGCCTTGCATTACCATCACCCCAGATACCCCTGACTCTGTCAACCAACACCATTATTTCTCCTCCCACTTCCCTAAACCTCAGCCAGCCTGAGACTGGAACATCTTATTTGTGCATTTTTTTAAGTTCCATATAATGTACAGTAATTCTTTACTCAGAATCTTCTATGCATTCTTGAAGTGGGTTGAAAACAATGACCTATTTCAGTTGAGCAGGAGATCTACATCTGTTAAGGCATCATTAAGATACATATGTATTTAACCAGCTGTTTTTCCTGTCTTGTGACTATTTTTAGTCTGTAGAAGGAAATGGATTGAAGTAGTCTTGAAGTTGGGCAACAGATTCTGCTTTCATTTACAAACAAATGACATTTTCTTAATGCTGTTAAACCAAATGCCAAAATATCTTCACTTTATTTTGTAAACATCAAATACTCCTGGTCTAGGATTTTTCAAGTTTTGTGATGTGATATAGTTCAGAGTTTAAAGCCATCTAGTAGATCATCTATGAACTTCTCCACCAAACCTGGTCCTTCACTAGCATTCTTAACTCAGAGAATAGCAGTCTTGCAGAAGAACTTTTTTTTTTAAAGAACTTTTTTTTACTTGTACAGAATACCTAGTTGTCTACCCAACAATATACTTTATCCTCTTCTTTTTTACTAACAGAGCTTGAATTTTTAGGGTCACTGCTCAAAAACATTTTTCCAGATTCCTCTACAGATAGAAATGACATGATAAAACAGTTCAGTTTAATGAGATGTAAGTATACAGTGTTAGGTGGAACTTTAAGAAAAGATGTTTTAGAGATGAAAGATTCAGATGCCATACACATTTTACCTTTTGTCCTTTGCCCTCCCCCTTCCTTTTTCCTGAATTGCATAATTGAAACCTGAGGTAACACACTAGCTGTATTGTATCAATGAGGAGACAATCCAGGGTCAGCTGAGCAGTAAGACGAAGGAGCTTGGGTTCTAAACAGTGCAATAGAGTAATGTATCATATCTGGACTGCCTACCTATAGATTTCTTTATATAGGAGAAAATAAGCTGCCTAATTTGCTTTTCCAAACTGATCTCTAGATTCAATACAATCCCAGTTAAAAATCCCAGAAGGATTTTTGGGTTAAGAGAGAAAGAGACATTAGACTTCACCAAAATCAAAACTTTCTGTTCATCAAAAGCTTCCGTTAAAAAAGTGAAGAACTAAGCCACAGATTGGAATAAAATATTCAAAATATCCGTATCTGACAAAGAAGTTTTACCCAGAATATATGAAGAACTCCTATAAACCAGTAATAAAAGGAGAAGCCAGTTAAGGACACTTCACAGAAAAAAAATATACAAAAGGCCAATAAGTATATAGAAAGTCAACATCACTTATCATCAAGGAAATGCAAATTAAAACCACAGGATACCGCTAAATGACTAAAACTACAAAGTATACACACTGGTTAAATGGTTAAAACTGAAAAAGACTGACAATATCAAGCAATAATGGGAATGTAGAGTACCTAGAACTTTCATACACTATGGATAGGAATGTAATATATGGTACAACCACTTTGGAAAACTGGAAATTTCTAAAGTTAAATACACACCTACTCTGTGTTTCAGCAGTTTCATTCTTAGGTATATAGAGAAATGAATGTTTATGGCAGTTTTATTCATAACACAAAACTATAAACAATCAAGTTTCTATCCACAGGAGAATGGATAGACAAACTGCAATACAGTCAGATAGTGGAATAACACTAATGAAAACGAATGGACTACTGGTACATGCAATAACCTACATAAATCTCAAAAGCATCACATTGAGCAAAATAAACCAGGTACAACATTCTGCATAACTGTCTATATGAAGGCCAATTATAGGCCAAACTAGGCTGTAGTGATGCATCTCAGAACAATGATTGCTCTGGGTGAGGGCAGGGGATTAAAATTAGCTGGAAAACGGACATGAGGGAATTTGCGGGGGGGAGTAGTTGAAATGTTTTGTATCTTGATCTGGCTAACAGTTACTACATACATTTATCAACATTCCCCAAGCTGTATATTTAAGATTTGTGATTTTACTCTATGTAAATTATACCTTAATAAAAAATTGTTATAAAATAGCTGTAAATTAAATGGAGTTAACTTCTACTGTATATTGTTCCATCGAACAATCACTAGTGCTAGCTAAATGTGGCTTATTAACTAATTTTTTTCATTTATTAAGTATGTTTTCTATCTGAAAAGAGAGCTGGTATAAGATAAATACTGACTTTTACAAAAGGCCATAAGTGTCTTCATAACTACATATCATGGTGGCAGTGTTAGGCATCCTAGATAAATTCAGAAAATAATTTAAAAATTGACAATAGCGACTGACTAATATGGTAACAATATGCCGGTTTTGGATAGGAAAGGCATATTTAAAATAGTCTGTGGTGACTTACTAATAAAATACCTGAAGCAATTTTAAAAATGCATATAAAAAGATCCCCCCAAAAAAGAGATATATATTTAGTGTGTCCTGATTTGAAAAGTGAATCAATCATTCTGAATCACAGGTTCAGATATAAAGTGTAAGTGTTTATAATATGGGGAAAAGTAAAGCACAAATATTTTAGATATAACCATAAAAATACTGAATTTGAATGTTGTGATTTGTGAACTTTCTAAAACCCAGTAGGGATCCTCTTTTTATCTGTTTAGGTGTCTTTAGAACATCTTAACTTTTTCTCATCTAGGTAAGAGATATTTTCCTTCTTCCAATACCAGGCAAGCAAAAGCACCTTATATAACCATTTTCTTTTGAAAGGAGCATGGAGTTCAACCACAGAATTTTGGAAAATTTGTCCATTAGTAGCATACAAACAGTGCACCCTATAGAAAGTTAGTATTTGAGAGTGGGGTTTGTAATCACTGTTTCAAATTTGCTTTTCAACTTCAGGACTATGAAAGAATAATCATTCCTTTGTTTAATATATGTATAAATGCATTTCCTTGCTGTGTTCTGAATTGTTCACTAAGGTATCATGCAGATTCTCTCTTCTCACCCCCTAAATAGATTACACAGTACATGCATTTATTCAAGTGTTTTCTCATGCTGCTTCACAGCTCCAGTAAAGTGCAAGTCACAGTCCAGGGGTAAATGCAGTAGTCCCCCCCACCCCTATCTGCAGTTTTGCTTTCATTGGTTTCAGTTATCTGTAGTCAACTGTGGTCCAAAAATATTAAATGGAAAATTCCAGGAAGAAATAATTTGTAAGTTTTAAATTGCATGCCATTTTGAGTATCCTGATGAAATCTTGCACTGTCCTGTCTGGGACATGAATCATCTCTTCGTGCAGTGCATCCACGCTGTATATGTGCTACCTGCCCATTAGTCACTTAGCCATCTGGGTCATCAGATTGGCTGTCACAGTATGCTTGTGTTAAAATAACCCTTATTTTACTTAATAAAGGTCCCAGAACTCAAGGGTGATGATACTGGCAATTCAGAGGTGCCAAAGAAAAGCTGGAAAGTACTTCCTTGAAGTGAAGAGTTGAAAGGTCTCAACTAAATAGGGAGAGAAAAAAAAATTATATGCCAAGGTTGCTGAGATCTATAGTAAGAACAAATCTGTCTGTGAAATTGTGAAGAAGGAAAAAAGAAATTCGTGCTGGTTTTATTGTTATTGACCTCTCACTGTTCCTAATTTATAAATTAAACTTTATTGTAGGCATGTATGTAGAGTAAAAAGCATAGTATATATAGGGTTGGGTACTAATCATGGTTTTAGGCATTCACTGGGGGTCTGGGACATATCCCCTGCAGATAAGGTGGTGGGGAGGGCTACTATCTACTTTGTATTTTTAGCCAGTAACTACTTTTTTTTCACATAAAAAAATTTGCACAGAAAATATATTTAAGTTTTTCTCCTCCTTTTCCTCCTTTTTTTTTTTTTTTTAAAGATTTATTTATTTATTTGATAGAGATAGAGGGAGAGCACAAGCAGGTGGAGTGGCAAGCAGAGGGAGAGGGAGAAGCAGGCTCCCCGCTGAGGAAGGAGCCCGACGTGGGGCTCGATCCCAGGACCCTGGGATCATGACCTGAGCTGAAGGCAGCCGCTTAACTGACTGAGCCACCCAGGCGCCCCTCCTTTTCCTCCTTTTTAAAACATTAGGCTTTAGGGGCAGAAGATAATGAATATGATTAATCCAATATTTAAAAAGAAAAAGGATACAAATGGGGAAACAATGATGGGAAGCCCTCAACTCTTCCAGTCGTGCTTCAAAGCCCAAGGATCATCTTCTCCTTCCCATTTAAGGTTCCACACTATTTTAACATTTCTTTATTAGAGGACTTGTCCTACTGTGTATTGGAAAGCTCTTCTCATCCTCTAAGCCTAACGTTTTTACTCCAGCAACCAGTTGTACTCCGTGAACTCACAGCACCTTGCCTTAGCTGCACTGTGTACCCCTTGCTTCCTGCACCAGAGCTTTGCTGCTGCCTCAGCTGTGTGGAACACATGCAGGAACCCCCTTACCCATTCTCACCATAGACTACCCTGGATGTGTGAAGGAGCTAATAACCCAGGGGCAACTCTTGAACAAGGAGGATGGGAGGCAGTGGTTAAATGCTCCTCTCTTGTTCTTCAGGTTGGCAATTCTGAGGTCCCTTCCACACAGTTCCTCAGAGGGTCACTAAAGGAATCACACTTCAGCTGCCAACTGATAGCAGCTGCAATGGCCAACTAATAACACACTTCATATTGCCTTTTCCTCATTTCCTGTTTTGCTCTTCCTACTTCCCTACTCCTGTTTGTAATTACTTTACCAAAATCAACCTACATGCAGGCTCTTGTCCCAGATCTGTTTTATGGGGAACCCAGGCTAAGTCAATTGTTACCTGAAGTGGCTCTAGAAAGTAGCCTGTCAGAATGGGAGTCAGGTACTGTATCACTCTTGGGGCAGTTAGTGATAGGGACCCCTCTGGTGGTGGTGATGAACCTGGTGTAATATCACAGTTACTAAGACTTTCTCCAGTGGTAGATTGGCTTGGGGAGCAGATGAAGGTCAAACATCAGTATAAGTGATAGGTAACACTTGGCATGGAGAGAGTGGTAATAACAAGGACTATGAAGTTGATGGCTTCTTTTCTTTCTTAAATAATTCTGACATTGAAATAATTTTATTTGGTATTTATCCACTGATAAAAAATGACAACTTGGAATTTGGAGAGGATTCTGGGAGGATGGTCGAATAAGAAGCACCGGGAATCTCTGTCTCCACCTAGACAACAATTGCACTGGTGGAATGTCTGATGCAACCTTTTTTTTTTTTTTTTTAAGTTCTGAAGTCTGTTGAAGATGGAGTTGACTGCTTTTTGTTAAAGTCTTTAGGAGATTTGAGAAAAAAATAGGTAACTACAAACTCAAGGTATATTGTGAGCATCAGAAAAATGCACCTCAGTATTTGAAAAACCCTATTTACAGCAGCTGGAGCACAAACAATATGGAAATTCAAACTCAGGGTTTAATGGTAAGGATTGCTACACTACTAAATATTAAACCTTGACAGGTTTCCTATTTTGAAATGAGGGGTCCGTTATGGAAAGAGTGGGACCCTGAGACCTGGGATTGGGATATTTGTGTAGATGAGCCTATTCTGGCATATCTTGAACCCCAGATTTTCTGTCACTCACTGGGCTGGC